CCATCATCTTCTCTGAGGTAGATTGGTGCTGCCAGGAGCAGACATGTCTCATAGTCATAAAAAATAACAAAATGTTTAGTTATTAAAACATCTTAAATGCCATATTCTATAGATCTCTGAAGATGACCTGTCTATCTAAAATACATCTGTTTGACCTTGAAAACATACCTAACTTGACTACAAGTTTGATTGTAATAGGTGACTAACTACTAACCTGCATTTCTTTATGTCCTAAATAGTTGGTAATAACTTTCAAAGATGAGAAAATTGAATTACATTGTTAAATGAACTGTATAGGTACAATACCTTGAACAAGATTAGAAATATATGTACAGTTTTTTCTAACAAAATCACAATTTGTATCAATGTACATAATTTGTACACAATATACAAAAATCCAACCCAATGTAAATATTTAAAACTAGTAGTTGCTTTTTAAAAGTAGATTCAATAATCTACCTTTTTATCTTATCATATCTATATTCTCCCCCTTTTTTTTTTCAGAGTAGATTCAATAATTTACCCTTTTATGCTATCATTTCTATATCTCTCTTTTTTAGAGTAGATTCAATAATCTACCTTTTTATCCTATCATTTCTATATAATACATTTTTATATCAATCATAGATAATAAAAACAACAAAACATAGCCTCAATGTCAGTTGTGGTGGTGCTTGCCTTTAATAACAGCATTTAGGAGGCAGAGGCAGGCAGATCTCAGTGAGTTCAAGACCAACCTGGTCTCCATATTGAGTTGCAGGCCAGCCAGGCCACATAGCAAGCTTTGTCCCCTGAAAGAACAAAAGCAAACCAACCTAGAGAAATTCTCGACTATAAGAGTTTTATACAGTATGAGAAACTAGGATGTATAAGAATATTTATTCTCAGAAATTACCATCAATGACCCAACATTTTTTGGGGGCTGCTGACTCAACAAAGCTCTTTGGGACTGTGTGAGAAGCATAATGTGCCAGGTGTAGCAGCATGTGCCTGTGATGCCTGAATGCAGGGGTTTACGACAAGTCCATTGTCAATCCAGGCAACCAAGTGAGATTCTGCCGTGACAAAAACAGCCAGGCTTAGTGATACACGCCTGTCATTCCAGCATTCCAGAGGCTAAGAGACAGCCAGACCCTGCCTCTCATGAGCAGAGGAGCTGCCTCTCTTAGTCTGTCTTCATAATCACTGCTCCTGCCCTCTCCACTCTGCTCTTACATCTGTGTTTGTCTCTCAACTTCCTGCATTTCTTTACTGGGAATTTCATTTGTTAAAAAGATGTCTTATCTTTAATTATGTGTGTGGGTATGTACATATGAGTGCTGGTACCCACAGAAGCCAGAGGCCTGGGATTCCCCCAGAGCTAGGCATTGTGATCCAGGATGGGTGCTGGGACTCAAACTCAGGTCCTCTGCAAGAACAGTAACTGCTGAACCATCCTCCCAGCCCCTTACTGGTAATCTGAATTTTAATGTTTGTTTCAAGAGTTTCATGAGTGCCTCATTCAGCTTTAGTTTGGGCATGAGTAGAACACTCTTCATTAGCCTCATTCTCAAAGTGGCTTATGCTGATTGGAATCAGATGTCTCACGTGCAGGTCAGTCAGCCTCTGAGTGCTGGGGTTAAAGGCAAGTACCACCACACCCAGCATATCCAGTACTTCCTTTTTCACGGAGAACCCATGTCAGTTCTCGGGCCAGAAACCCAGATTCTAGTTTCACCATCAAGACGCAGTCAACGCAGTCAGCCCAGCACAAAGTGCTGAGTAGAGACTGAGTGCTCACCCCTAAATGAGGCATCTTTACTGTGCACACGTCCACCCTGGCAGAGGAAGAGGAGGCAGGAAGAATATAAGAGCCAGAGGATGGGGGAGTGCTGTGGGATGCTGTCTTCTGGACATGCCATAGCTATTGCCCTCATGAACTCACAGCACAAGACCAAGCCGACTAAAATTCCAGCATAGATTCGGGGGTGCTTTCTTGGCCCATTCCCTCACTGAGGAGCAGTTGCCAGTTAATAGCTGTTTTTGAGGGAGAATCTTTTCTGAGGGTGAAGCCAGCGGTCTATGAAAACAGGAGAAGGAAAAAGACCTGGAGTTGGGAGGGGGCATGTCGGGAAGGTGGGAGGGGTGGAGAAGGGAAGTGGGGGAGGATGTGACCTTAACTCACTGTATACATGTGTCCCCAAGAATAGAGACAAATCTCCACTTAAAAGCAAACACGAGAACATCTCCACAGCTGTGCCACAGCAATGCAGCAGGGCGGGCATGGGGCGCGGGGAGGCTGGTTTGGGCTTCTTGGGAGTCCAGTTCCACTGGGTGGAAAGGAAGGCTGGTGGTTCTGGCTCCAGCTTTTGGTTGGCTGCTGGGATGTAAGTGGCTGCGGGTGGCTGGTAAGGGAACAGAGAAAAGGCAGAACAAATGTGGGGTTCCCTCCCTCTCCTGACTTAGGAATTGTCCTTCCTGCTCCATGCCTTTTTTTTGTTTTTTGTTGTTGTTGTTTTTTTTTTTTAATTTATTATGGATACAGTGTTCTGCCTGCATGTATGCCTGCACCCCTGAAGAGGGCACCAGATCTCATTACAGATGGCTGTGAGCCTCCATGTGATTGCTGGGAATTGAACTCAGCACCTCTGGAAGAGCAGCCGGTGCTCTTAACCTCTGAGCCATCTCTCCAGCCCCCTTCTGCCCTATGCTTAGCCAGAAGAGTTCCAGGTTTAGAGCCATATGGAGTTCAGGCCAGAAGAAAACAGAACAAAGATGTATCCTGACCAGGTTCGGGCTGGGTCAAATTCTGGCCTTCCTTGATCCACCACAAACAGCTGTGGCATTGATTCTGTTTTGACCTTGAAGCTGTGCTTTGCAGGAGAAGTTGCAGGGGTCAGCTCCATCTTTCTGGAAAGTCCCCTCCCCCGTCCTTTCTTCTTGAAATCTCTGGTTTATTGGCTTCCACTTCGTAAGAATAACATGAGGCCCTGGGTTCAACTCGCCACCACCACAACAGTAAATACATTTTTTAAAGCATGGGATTGTTTCCCCACCCTTAACTTTGTTTACTTTGTTACTTTCCTGTTGCTGTGATAAAATACCCTGACAAAAGCAACTTAAGGGAGAAAGGCTTGTTATTTTGGCTTACTCTTCCAGTGCGATACAGGCCATCATTTCAAGAAGATACAGCAGCTGGCAGGGGAAGGATGGTGGCAGGCACAGGAGACAGGCACCTGTACTCAGGGAGCAGAGAGTGAACAGGAAGTGAGGCCTCTTTATGAAGCCTCACATCCTCCAGCGGGGCTCCACTTCCAAAACAGTCTCACCCCCAAAGGACCATTGAAACATGGGAGCCTATGGGAGATACCTAACATTAAAACCACTACACCCATATGTTATGAGCACCTCTTCATGTCAATACATAAAAATCAACTTAACTTTTAATATTACATGTATTGGGTGTGTGTGTGTGTGTATCCATGCATGTGCATATGGAGATCAAAGGACAACTTGTGAGAATCCTTTCTCCCCTTACACCATGTGGCTCCTAGGGATTGAACTTAGATTGTCAGGCTTGGTGGCAAGCACCCTTACCTGCTGGCCATCTCACAGGCCCCTACAGCATCATTTTTTATTATAGCAAACTATACATAACACACCCTATGATCTTAGTCATTTTGTAAAAGGTTTTGAATTTTATGTGTATGGGCGCCTTGCCTGTATCACATGTGTGCAGTACCCTCAGAGGTCAGATCCTCTGGAACTGAGTTACAGATGGTTGGAGCTGCCACGTGGGTGACAGGAACCCAGGTCTTCCGGAAGAGCAGTCAATGCTCTTAACTACGGAGCCATCTCTTCAGCCCCTATTTTAGTAATTTTCAAGTGCATATTTCCAGTATATTTCACACTGTTATGCAACCATCACCTCCAATCATCACCAGACTTTTTTCATCTCAAACTGAAACCCTGTATTCATTAAGCAGTGTTTTTAATGGCTTTAAGATATAATGCATATAATTTACTTCTGAAACTCTTACTGTTATACATACAGGTATGTTTTCTACTATAAACATTCTTGGTACTAGAGAGATGGCTCCGCAGTAAAGAACATGTGTTGCTCTTGTAGAGAACCTGAGTTTAGTTCCTGGCATGCATATCAGGTGGCTCACACTTACTTCTAAGTCCAGCTCCAAGGGTAGCTATCATCCCCGGTCTTTGAGTGCTCTACCACCAGCACCCCACCCCTGCCCCACGTCATTCTGGGAGACAAAAGCGGCTTATACAGCGTTTTTTGTTTTGTTTTGTTTTGTTTTGTTTGTTTTTTGCCCCACCCCTCTGGTGCTTCCCAGATCGATCGAACCCAGGTCCTTCAGCATGCTTGGAGTTAACACTCATTGTTTGGATAATAAGCACAGATGGGTTTTTTAAAATCCGCATGCCATATTGTCTTGACTTCAAACCTGGAAAGTAGATCAGAAATAGATGATACATATATTTTAAATAGTTAGGGTCCTGGAGACGAGGTCTAGTTCTTAATTGAGTTATTAGGACAGTCTGTCATGATATTTGCCTGGCCCCCTCAAAACAAACAACTAATTAGGTAGTGTTAGGTCTGATTTTCTATGTCGAAACCCTACCCCTCTCGTTTCATATCAAGTACAGATACTAGTGTGGCATGTTGAGATTTTTCTAGCCTTTTACATCACTTAAATATCCAGCTTGAGGTTTGGACCTGGAAATCTGTGAAGTTCAGCTTTCTGTCTCAGGTCCAAGTCCCCAAATCATCTTTACATGTAGTTTTCAAGTCTAGACGCATCAGTAGTACCGGACATTTGCTCATGCTGCTGTTCTGAGGACCACCCTTTGGCAACCACCGCTTTGCAAAGAGTGGAGATCACAAAGAAGCCCTCTGAGGTTCCCAGCCCCAGGCTCAACCCGGTTGTTGCATCCTGGCATGCATTTGGAGAGTGGAAGCCAGAGCCAGAGGCTGGGTGAGAGTGCCTGCGCTGCCGCGGGCGTCCAGTGTGCGGCCACCAGGGGGCAGCCTCGCGCTCGCCTCGGGCTGCTTCGGGCCGCTTCCGGCCGCGCAGGCGTCGTGGGCCGCGAGCCGGATTTGGTGGTCGCCGGGTCTGGTGGTCGCCAGGTAGGCTCCGGGGAATGGTGAAGCAGGCCGGGGTTCTGCGGGTCCTTTCCGAACCTGGACCCTCCGACCCAGCCCCAGGGTGGGATGACGCGGCTCTCACGGGGCTCAACCGGGCCTTGCCTTGAAGCAGGTGGTGGCTGCGGCCCCTCCAGATGCTCACCGCGCACCCCTCCTCCGGGTGCTCACCGAGCATTCCCCACTCCGGGTGCTCACCGAGCATTCCCCACTCCGGGTGCTCACCGCGCACCCACCTCCGGGTGCTCACCGCGCACCCCTCCTCCGGGTGCTCACCGCGCACCCCTCCTCCGGGTGCTCACCGCGCACCCCACCTCCGGGTGCTCACCGCGCACCCCTCCTCCGGGTGCTCACCGCGCACCCCACCTCCGGGTGCTCACCGCGCACCCCTCCTCCGGGTGCTCACCGAGCATTCCCCACTCCGGGTGCTCACCGAGCATTCCCCACTCCGGGTGCTCACCGAGCATTCCCCACTCCGGGTGATCACCGAGCATTCCCCATTCCGGGTGCTCACCGCGCACCCCTCCTCCGGGTGCTCACCGCGCACCCCTCCTCCGGGTGCTCACCGAGCATTCCCCACTCCGGGTGCTCACCGAGCATTCCCCACTCCGGGTGCTCACCGGGCATTCCCCACTCCGGGTGCTCACCGTGCATTCCCCACTCCGGGTGCTCACCGGGCATTCCCCACTCCGGGTGATCACCGAGCATTCCCCATTCCGGGTGCTTACCGTACACACCCCGCATGGTGCTCTCCGTGCACCCCTTTCCAGGTCCCTGTACACCGGACGCTGCTGCTCAACTGTGTGAGCGGCGACCTTCCGCAGTGCTCTCGCTGTCTCACCCCCTCCCTCGCCACTTCTCACCCTCCTTCCCTCCTTTCTTGTTAAAGAGCAATATTTAGACGTTTAGGAATTTTGACATCCCCACCCTTTGCCTGTATAAACGAAATAGCATCCAGAATATTTAAAATAATTATCGGAAAGTGAGGTTTAGTCTGAATTGTATTGGTAACACCGACACCTGGAATCGTGTAAAATAGTCTGCATATTGGCAGTTCATTTAGTTGCCTTATTTTCTTTATCTAAGCGGTGAGCATACAGCAGTTGGTCCTTTTTCACCATTATCAAGCAGCCTTGGTGTTTAAACCGTGCCAGGGCATGTTCCTTTAAGGTCCAGGCAGCCAGTGCCCGCCCCCTCCAGTGACCATGCTGGGTTCAAGCTTGCCTCCCCTCTCACAGCTTTGCAAGAGACTGAGGAAGAAATTGAATTTGAGGCAGCGCTTCCACACACACGGTGTAGATCTTGGATGAGCGCCTTCACCTTTGAGTCCGTCCCCTTCTCCGGGAAACGAGATCAATGGTTGTATCTACCCTTCAGAATGGTTTTGACTTCGATGTTGCGTGGTACTGTGGGAACAGCTGAGTTTAAGAATGGTTGCTTTTTTTCTGGGGAGATTCAGAATATGAGGAGTTAGCTAAAAGGCATAAAATGCAGTCCATAAGAAACAAATGCCTTGATGGCTTGCCGATGAATGGTGACTTTTGCTTGTGGTCTGTGGTCATTCCGCACATCATGGCTGGAGAGGGCGATGGCGGGAGGGGAAACTGATGGGAGAAGACAGTGGTGGAGGAGGAGATCTTACTTCATGGCACCCTGGAAGCAGAGAGACGCAGGCTCGGGTCCCAGTATTTCCTTCATGCTGTGCAAGACCCTGGGTTGGATCCCCAATATGCCACCCTTCCCCCCCCAAAAAAAAAGTTATTTTTTTTTTAAATTGAAATATACTCAGGACAAGTATAAATTGACAAAAAACTGAATAGATGGTCATAATTTTATTTATTTATTTTTCCCTTGAAACATTTCGTTAAAGAAGGAAGATCCTATCTGCTGTGTGGAGAATGGATTGGAACAAAGGAAGGCCGTGCAGGAATCCGATGTAGAAGCCCAGGTAAGGGGTGCTGGTGGCATGTGCCATGGCGGAATTAGGAAAGGGCAATGTGTAGGGGCTGATTCTGAGGTCAAGGGAGGGAGGCATTGAGTCACCCCGGTTTGTGATATGAATGATGAGTGGGTTGTGTCCCCATGATAGAGTGGGAGCCCCAGAGAAGGGACGTGCCGGGGAGGAAGGTCAGCAGTGGACATCCCAGACATTGAGCCTACTGAGTGTTGGGAGAAAGATTTCGGCTGCAGTGTAGATTTAGGGGTTGTAAGCGTTTGGAGGACTGCCAGAGATACTGCATGAGGGGGGTTTACCTCGGCCTCAACACCCTCCAAGACATAGTCTCATCTAGTGCCAGCTTTGGCCAGCTACAATCCACTGCCCATTTTTTTTTTTTTTTTTATGCTCCTGAACTAAGCAAGCGCTTTACCAGGTAGCTGTATTCCCGGCCACTTTTTCTTTTTTTCTTTTTCTTTTCTTTTCTTTTCTTTTCTTTTCTTTTCTTTTCTTTTTGAGACAGGGTTTCTCTTTGTACCTCTGCCTGTCCTGGAACTCACTCTGTAGCCCAGGCTGGCCTCGAACTCACAGAGATCCACCTGCCTCTACCTCCTGAGTGCTGGGATTAAAGGCGTGCGCCACTACCACCTGGCTTGTCTTCTTTTATTTCTCAAAATTTTTTAAAAGATTTATTTAGCCAGGCGGTGGTGGCGCACGCCTTTAATCCCAGCACTCCGGAGGCAGAGCCAGGCGGATCTCTGTGAGTTTGAGGCCAGCCTGGGCTACAGAGTGAGTTCCAGGACAGGCTCCAAAGCTACACAGAGAAACCCTGTCTCGAAAAACCAAAAAAAAAAAAACAAACAAACAAAAAAAACCGATTTATTTAGTATATATGCAGTGTTCTGTCTACACATAATGCCTGCATGCCGGAAGAGGGCGCCAGATCTCATTACAGATGGTTGTGAGCCACCATGTGGTTGCTGGGAATTGAACTCAGGACCTCTGGAGGAGCAGCCAGTGCTCTTAGCCTCTTTGCCACCTTCCCAGCCCGCCCTGGCCACTTTTATCTTTATAAATGTTGGGAAAGAGATATTTTGTAAGAAAGCACAGGGTTTTGTTGTTGTTTTTTGTTTGTTTGTTTGTTTGTTTGTTTTTTCGAGAGAGGGTTTCTCTGTGTAGCTTTGGTGCCTGTCCTGGATCTCGCTCTGTAGACCAGGCTGGCCTCGAACTCACAGAGATCCGCCTGCCTCTGCCTCCCGAGTGCTCATTTTTGTACTCTGTAGGGGCTGCTCTTACATAGCCTGGCAACAGAGTTGAGTGACAGATGAGATGATACATCAGGTCATCTCTCTGCACCTCACATCAGTGATACGGTTATCCCTTGACTTTGACACTGACTCCTAGAAAAAAAACAGTTGCAGCCCTTTGACCTAAGGTCTAAGTTGCGACACCCCTGGTCCCTCTAAGGGTTATGAAAGGTGAGCTGGAGAGATGGCTCAGTGCGCAGAGGTGCTTGTCAATGCAAGCCTGCGGCATCCCCAGAAACCCCTTAAAGACAGAAGAGAGAATCAACTCTACAAAGTTGTCCTCTGACCTCTACACTTGCATGCCGTGACGTGTGCTCACCCGTACCCACACATGGTAGACACGATGATAATTAACAAAATTTTTTAAAAAAGTGTGATGAGAGAGAACCGGCCCCAGCCTGAGTGGAAACGGTTGCCACCGCTATTGTTAAGTCTCTGAAGATGGCCTGAGGGAGAGGCCTGGAGGTGAAGATGAGGGCCTCAGGTCCCTGGGGAAAGAGGAACGAGTGACCCGATACTGCTGGGAGACCCGGGACTGTGGGGTGAATGGGCAGGATGGCCTCCAGGTGGCCTCTGAATGAAACCAAGGTGACTGCAGAGTCAAGGTTTACTGAGCACGTCCTGGTGACAGCAGAAATAAATGCCAGCCTTGAATTCTGTTGTCCTAAGTGACGTTACTGAACTGTCAGTTCTAGCATTTCGGGATTAGAAGCAGTCGTGTTGCCGGGACAACACTTCAGCCCTGTCCTCATTGGCTTGGAAACAGGAAGGGGAGGTTCCGTATTTACTGTCAAGAACTGTGTAAAAGGAGTAGCTTTGGGGGACAAGACTTGGAGTTGAGATATAATTCTTTTTTGTTTCGTGTCTGTGGGTGTTTCGCCTGCACGTATGTGTCTGTGCACCATGGGAATGCAGTACTTCCATAGGCCAGAAGACACCACCACTTCTCCTGGGATGGAATTACAGAGGTTGGGAGCTGCCATGTGGGACCCAGCGCACCACTGAGGGACCCAGGCACGTGGATGGGGACCCGGCTGGGAGAAGGAAGAGACCGCTGAAGGTAGCCTTGTCCATAGTGACTCTGGGTCCCCGTGCCACCCAGTCTAACAGTCACCTTGGAACATCTCTGTCCAGCGCTGTGAGGGACAAGCATCCTTTGCTCAGGCCTGTCCCCTTCCAGGTCCCTCCGCCACGGTTCTTCCGCCATGGCCCTGCAGTGGCCTCTGTCCTGGATTCTTTGGGTCCCTACTGCCTGTGTCTCCCGAGTCATCCCTCCAGAAAATATTGTCACCGATATTCTCACTCACAAGTTTGCCGACTCTTGTCCCAGATTATCGCCAGGGCCTCCTAGCTAATTTCTGCACCTCAGTCTTCCCACCCCAGAGCCACCTTCTGCACCCACTAAGAGTTACCTTTGCTTCTTCACTGGGCCGTCGCTAGGGGCCAGGGTGCTCAGCTAGCCCTGTGTTCAGTCCCCTGAGCCACAAAATAGAAAGCCTAAATATTTTGTTGTTGCTGTGTTTTGGGGTTCAAGCCCAGGGTCTTGCACATGCTGGAAGTTCCCTGAGCTGTCCTCGGCTCGTTCAGGGTACCTTCCAAGGAGCACCCCAACTTCTCAGCGTCAGGAGGCCCTTGTCTGTTTACTGTGCTCACTAAGCGTCTCTGTCCATCTTCTGTCCCAGTCCCACAACACACATGGACACTCAGGCCGTCCACGTAGTGTCAGCTCCTGTGGGAGGAAAAGACCAGACCCAGGCTAGATGGATCCACATTTTAGCTTGTAAGGGAGAACAGTGTTTATCAGAGCAGCTCCCGTGGTAGTTCCTATACGCCTTCAAGTGACACTGAGGCCGACAGAGCCCTCGAGTGGCATCAGAACACCTCCGTGGAAATCCACGTGGGCAATGGTGCCACCCCCTGTCTCCTGTTCTGTTGTAGGAACTGACATGGGACAGCCACATGGAGACAGGAAAGGTCTCCCCCACAGAGAAGTCCCCCGGGGCGTTGGGCTGTTGCTGGCCATGGCCCTCATGAACGTGCTCCTTTACCTCTGCCTCGACCAGTTTGTCATTTCCCCTCGAGCTGCGGAGGACCCCAGGCGCTGTCCCCACGGGTACTTCAGGATGGGACGGATGAGGAACTGCTCGCGCTGGTTGTCCTGTGAGGAGCTGAGGACGGAAGTGAGGCAGCTGAGGCGCGTGGGGGAAGGAGCCGTGAAGAGAGTAAGTGTCCGTGTCCCGTGCCATCGTCACCGGCACCGTCACCATCAGCTCTGGGAGACCAATTTGTTTGGCACCAGCTGCCATGGGGCTTGCTGTGCCTGGGAGTCTAAGGCAAGAAGATTGCCTGGAGCCGGGCGGTGGTGGCACACGCCTCTAATCCCAGCACGTGGGAGGCAGAGGAAGACAGATTACTTGAGTTTGAGGCCAGCCTGGTCTACAGAGCAAGTTCCAGGACAGCCAGGGCTACACTAAGAGACCCTATCTCAAAAAAAAAAGAGAGAGAGAGAAGATTGCTTAGGGTAGGGACTTTGAAGCCAACCTGGGCAACATCACAGAATACTGGCTTATAAACAAACAAGAGAAAAGAGCCATGAAGGCCCTGTGTTTCTGTCCTTGAGCCCAGGAGTCTCAGATCAGGAACTCTGACATAGTGAAATCATCTGGAGGAACGGAGACCGGTTCTATAGAATGGGCGATGGGAACACTTTTGGGAGAGGGGCTGGGGATGTAGCTCCGTGAGAAGAGTGCTTGCTTTAAGGCCATCCTCGGCTGTATAGGGAATTCAAGGCCAGCCTGTGCTACATTGAGACCTTGTCTCAAAAAAAAAAAAAAGTGTATATTTATATATACGCACCTATATATACATACATATTTTTAGAAGCATGGTTAATGGTGTAGCCATTAGGTGTAGATAGGAACTCCAATTAGTGTCAGGAAGCAAAGTCCTAGGATAGTAAGTAAGAAGGAAAGTGCGTTACCTAGTTGTAGAGTATACTGTTTTCAGTTGTAGTTAGGTGAGAAGATACGAACATGACAGACAAGAGTTAGGGAGGCGTCTGAGCTCTCAGCACCACGCAACAGGCCTTCCTTAGTGATCCATTCCTGCTCCGAGACCCACGGGTCTTCAGATCCTCACCCTTGTCTTGGCCAGTGGTCTCACGTCAGGAGTTGTGAAGGCAGCTCGCTCCGCAGACAGCGTCCTCGTCCTTTCTATGAGGCGTGCACCTCGCTGCCCGCATCATCCTGACTCCCACAGCGGTGCTTCTCGAGTGGCCCCGCTCCCGGGGTCGCCAGTCCTTCCCACCCCATCCTTCATTCCCGTGGTCTGTGAAAACAAGCACACTTTACAGCAGCAGCTCCGTTCTCTCGATGGCCCGGTCCTCGGAAGCTGCCGCTCTTTCTCCGTTTCTGTGATGGGAAAGCTCGCTCACCACCCCGACTTCCCGAGCTCTCCATCGCTTTCATCCTTCCCCGCTGGGGCTTCCACACACCAGGAAACCACTTTTTTTTTTTTTGGTTTTTCGAGACAGGGTTTCCCTGTGTAGTTTCGGTCCCTGTCCTGGATCTCACTCTGTAGCCCAGGCTGGCCTCGAACTCACAAAGATCCACCTGGCTCTGCCTCCTGAGTGCTGGGATTAAAGGCGTGCGCACTGCCACCGCCCAGCGACCTAGTCTAATTCTATTGCTTTTATATGTCTAATAAATTCCCAGATGGTTCTCTCTAGTCCCCATCTCCCTGAGTCCTAGAGCCATACAATCAACTGCTTCCGTGACAGCTCTCCCTGGAGCTCTCCGAATGTCACCGTGTCCCTTGTGGACCTCTTGTTGGTTTGCTTTTCCTTTTGAATAGAGCCTTCAAACTCATGATTCTCCTGCCTCAGCTTCTTGAGTTTGGGGATTACAAGTAAGTGTCACTACAGCTGGCTTGGTGTGGAGTGCTTGCTAGTGTCTTCCCTGAGGCCTGCTGTGCCCCCTCTGAGTAGATGGCATCACTTTCCACCCGGTTCCTTGAGCCACACACCTGGGAATCGTCTTGAGCCCTCCTACCTCTTCTCTCAGCCCAGAGCAGGCTCTTTCCCACCGTGGAACATGACGGCTCCCGGGTTCTGTGTAGCCTTTGGAAGAGCCTGCAGTCTCCCTCTTGAGCCCGCTCTTCCCCTTCCCCAGCTCGGGTAGCTGTCCACCTTTCTGCGAGTTGTGTGTATCTGTCTTCACAGTTCTGGGATGGCAGGGACTGGACCGTATCTGGCTCATTCCCATGTCCTCCGCACCACGCCTGCCTCCTAGGAGGTGTCTGTTTCTCAGCTTGCTCTGGCGCGAGCCCGGGTCTGACGTTCTCCGTGGCCCTGTTTCAGGTCTTTCTGTCCGAGTGGAAGGAACACAAAGTTGCCCTCTCGCGGCTCACCAGGCTGGAGATGAAGGATGACTTCCTCCACGGACTGCAGATGCTGAAGTCTCTGCAGAGTGAGCACGTGGTCACGCTGGTTGGCTACTGCGAGGAAGACGGCACTGTTCTTACCGAATATCACCCCTTAGGTTCCTTGAGCAACCTGGAAGAAACACTAAACCTTTCAAAGTACCAGGATGTGAACACCTGGCAGCACAGGTTCCAGCTGGCCGTGGAGTACGTGGGCATCATTAACTACCTGCACCACAGTCCCCTGGGCACGAGGGTCATGTGCGACTCTAACGACCTGCCCAAAACATTGTCCCAGTATCTTCTCACAAGCAACTTCAGCATCGTGGCAAACGACCTGGATGCCCTGCCCCTGGTGGACCACGACTCTGGGGCACTTGTGAAGTGTGGCCACAGGGAGCTGCATGGGGACTTTGTGGCACCGGAGCAGCTGTGGCCTTACGGAGAAGACACGCCCTTCCAAGATGATCTCATGCCCTCCTATGATGAGAAGATTGACATCTGGAAGATTCCGGATGTCTCCAGTTTCCTTTTAGGGCATGTGGAAGGGAGTGATATGGTTCGATTTCATTTATTTGATATCCATAAGGCATGTAAGAGCCAGATCCCCGCAGAAAGACCCACGGCTCAGGATGTTCTGGACACTTACCGGAAGGTTTTACATTCACTCAGGGACACGGTGACGTCTCAGACAAAAGAGATGCTGTAAAGACGGACCACTGAGTGACAGACTTGACGGCTGAGTGGCATCCCAGATGTTCTACTCTGGATGGAAGCGCTTCCGTGAACTTTGTGTCTTGTTGGCTTTGGTTGTTCAGCCCTGCAGACTCTCCCCTGCATCTGCCTGCACATCTGCCTGCACATCAGAGTGTATGCTGGTCTCCTGGCAACCTGGATAGAAGTTGCCAAGCGGGAAAACCTTGCTTTGCTGTGCTTCCTGGTGAAGATGCAGAGAATCTGTGGGTCTAACAGTGTTTGAAGGGAGTGATTGATGGAACAGTAATCACGTAGACACCTTGCCTACCCTGGTAACCGTGTTTATAGACTGGTAAGAAGTGGAAATCTTTAAATGACCACGTGTGAAAAAAACATACACTAGTTCTTCAGGGAACATTTTCTCCTAATTGAAGGAGATACATTTCCCCCTTGAGAAGGGGATAGATACCACAGGCAAAAGAAGTCCTGTTGGAAGTTGGATATATATAGCTCAGTGGCCGGGCACTTGCATGGTTCTGTGCAGAGCCCTGGATCTGGCCCGTCACATGCTCGTACACACACTCGAAGACCATTTTGGGTGTGCAAAGTGCACCGCTTGTCAGGGAGATCATTGTCAGTGTTGGGGATGATTTTCTGTGAAGCTCCCGTGCTCGCTCCTTCCACTGAGCCAAGTGTGCTCTGGCAGCAGGCTCTTGAGATTGTGAATGGCTAGGAATGTTGGGACCAGCAAGTTGAGGGAACTTTCTTGCCTGGTTTGGATGGTGCTGACCTGGGGTTTCTGTGTGAACGTTTGATATCCAGTGTCCTTCTTCACTAGAAGGTGTTGCATCTCCCTGGGTTTGCACAACTGAATAAAAAAAAAAAAAAAAAAAAAAAAAAAAAAAAAAAGAAAGAAACAAAAAACAAAAACAAAACAAAACAACAACAAAAAAAAACCTGGAGCCAGGAATGATGGTACACGCCTGCAATCCTAATGCTGGGAGACAGAGTGGAGGAACTAAGAATTCAGGGCTATCATGGGCTGTACCACGACCCTGTCCATCCACCCCCCACCCCCCAAATAAAAAGGGTCTCTCCCATGGTGCTGACATCCTTATTTGGGGAGACATGAGAGATGTGGTGTGTATTCATGGTCACTCGTGATGTGCCCCTGTCTTCCCCTGAACCTGAGCAGGCAGCAGAGCCACGTGGAGTCATCACAGATGGGGGCCACCTCAGAGTCTCTAGCTTCGCAGGGTCCAGAGCGAAGTCCACAAATTTTCATTTGTGACTGGTTCCCCCGCCCCTAACGTTTCGTTTCCCTTCTCCCCTGGGGACCACCATCCGAGACACATGTCCCCCTCGGGAAGGGGATACCACAGGCAAAGGAAGTAGGCGGATCACGCTGCGCTGTTTTCTGTAGCCTGTGGCTGCCTAGCCACCTGGTATCTGAACAGTCACTGAGACGCGCACAGGGTTCTCCATTCACTTAGGGTCGGTTGTCTGACAAAAACTCCACCAAAGCCCACTGGCTTCCAGATATTGACAAGTGTTGGCCAGGATGCGGAGTAATTGGAACCCTCACCATGTTGCTAGTGGGGACTTAACTGTGCAGAAGCATGTTGGGGAAAAGTCAGGCAGTTCCTCAGAACAATAAAAAGAATTATCATGTGACCCAGCAATCCTTCCAAGTGTACACCCGGAAAGATTGAAATAATGAAAACATGTTTACATTATCCATGAACACTGATGGTACAATTATTGATAATAGACAAATAGAAAATAACCCAGTTGGTTGGTCAGTCCTTTTATATATCTCCATATAGTAGAATATTATTCAGCCTTAAAGAATTACATTCTTTTTTTTTGCTTGTTTTTTTGAGACAGGGTTTCTCTGTGTAGTTTTGGTACCTGTCCTGGATCTCGCTCTGTAGACCAGGCTGGCCTCGAACTCACTGAAATTGGCCTGGCTCTGCCTTCCGAGTGCTCAGATTAAAGGTGTGCGCCACCGCTGCCCAGCCAAGAATGACATTCTTTCGCATGCTGCAGTGAGCAAGCCTTGAAAACATACTGCATGGAAGAAGCTGCTCATAGAAGATGGCATGTTACAGAATTGTATCGGGAGCATCCAGGTCTAAAACCACAGAAGCAGGAAGATGAGTGTGTGTGTGAAGGGCTGGTAGCAGGGCAGGGTTGAAGAATGGGAACTGACTGACTACTATTGGAAGTGTGCTGAGATCACACAATGGGAGATGTTTACACAACAGTACTCCCTGCTGAGTTGTGTCCAAAGGGAAAAACTGAAAAGATTGACCATGAGGCCGAAAGTTTCTGGGCCTCTCCCTTGATGAGGGCAATTGTGGTCAACCTCAGGGGTAGTTACCATGGAGTGGTCCGGAAGTACAGAGTCCAGAGAGGACACTGAATACAAGAGAGGATGTAAAACACAAAATCCTAATTCCTTGTCCCATGTCAGAGACACCTTTCTGCACCCTAACGAGGAACTGTCACTTGGCACAGATTCGAAAAAGAAATATCCAAAGAGAAGTGAAATGGGACTAACCACATTGCTATAACTGGTAAAATGTGTGCTCTGTGCCTCTACATGCTTCTGCAAATGGGCTTTAAATGCTCCAAAAGTCTTGACATGGTTTGTTTTTTTTTTTAATTCCCACAAAAAAAATCTATTTTTATAATTATTTCAGGTCTGGAAGGGAGAAGCCAAAAAATCGTAAAAATAACAACACACATGACTGTATAAGTGACATGCATATGATTCCCTGAAACTGGAGTTACAGGTGGTTGTGAGCCACCTGATGTGGGTCCTGGGAACTGAACCTAGGTCCTCTGCAAGAGCAGTAAGCATTCTTCTAGCATCATGAGTGGCTATGTGAAGGTCTAATCATTTGCACTGCGCAGTGTAATCCCATCCCATCAATGGCCATTTGGATTGCTCACACAATTTTGCAGCTAGAAACAATTTTGTCACAAATTGTGCCTGTTCTCTTTCACAAGTGATGGTTTCTTTGGGAATAGACAGCAGTGTGGATCTGCAGAGTCCTCATCCCTGGACACCTTTAACTTCCACAGAAGATTAGCAGTAGCCTCTTCACGGTGCCAGCAACAGGAGACTTTTTAGGGGGGTGTATCTTTCCCTCTAGTTAGTGAACGTCTAGAGCTTGTGCGTGTGCGGGGGAGGCTCTGCAGTCTTGTTTTGTTACCCAGGAATCTCCTAGAAAGTGGACAGAGACCTGTAACACCCGTTTGCACGTTGAAAGGCTAGGATGCAAGAATTTAGAATGCTGCTCAGGAAGGTGGTGAGGGTGAATGAAGGGAAGCAAAGGCCACTCTTCTGGATGCTTCTCCCCACAGAACGGAAACACGGGCGCAAAGGCTAGAAAACAGCCAGGCAGCAAGCACTCTGTGGCGCTAAGCACGGCTCTAGCTAGGCACACACTTTCCCTCGGAGAGGGGCGGGGCTAGGGAAGACAGGGGGCGGGGACTACGGAGGCTCGGCCACGCCCTCCCCTGCGGGACCGCGGCGGTGACGACACCGGAGCGGCCATGAAGGGCGGGTCGAGCTCGCGCAGGCGCCCGGCGGAGGAGCGTAGCTCGGCAGCGGGGACCGAGGAGCGCAGCTCGGCAGCGGGGACCGAGGAGCGCAGCTCGGCAGCGGGGACCGAGGAGCGCAGCTCGGCAGCGGGGACCGAGGAGCGCAGCTCCCCGAGGCAGGCGGCAGGCGGCATGGGCGCGGGCCCGGTGCTGGCCGCGCTGCTGCTGGCCGGCTCGGTGCTGAGCGCCGCGCTGCTGGCCCCCGGCCGCCGGGCCGAGCCAGGTGAGCGACCGACCGCGCGCGCGGGCTCGGGGCGGCGGGGACCGCGCGTGGGCCTGCCCGGGACGTCTCCCCACCACCCCCGGGGCACAGGACCTGAGCGAGGCGCCGGGGCCGCTCTGGGGTGGACCGCAGTGCCGGCGGCGTCGCCACGGGAGCTGCGACCCCGGCAGCCCGGGCTCGGCCTGGCTTCCCAGGTTCGGTTGCGGGAGCCCGGGGTGGGTGCTCAGTCCGTCCCCGAAACCACCAGGGGAAAGGGTGGGAAAAATAGAAATTCTCGACCCCTTCTTCTCAGGACCCCAGGGTCCTGCAGCACCATTTCACAAACTCCCCGAGCTAGTTTGGCTGGAGGACGGAGGCAAGTGGACAAACCCCCTTTGCGCATTGTTTTGGATAGGGCCTGTCATCCGGCGAGGTGTGTCGCCTGCCTCTTCCCCACCGTCCACCCCCTTTTCCGTATCAGAACTTGGATGGGGTGTCTTTGTGAAATACGCCCCTCCACCTTCCAAACGTTAAAAAAAAATATTGAAATAATGCAAAAAAAAAAAAAAAGTACAAAGGAAGCTGTAAGAATTCAGGACTTTAGGAGTCTTGTTGGGAGGAGAGGTTTTAAAAAATCATGCCGAGTTTGGAGTCTGGTCAGGGTCTTTGAACTTTTTGTTGCTGTTGTTTTTGAAGCTTCCCGGGGCAATTCTGATGTTCAGCTAGGACTCGGTATGGTCCTGAGTAACGTAGTAACAATGGCCAGAGCTTTGCGAGTCTAGAACCCACAAGGGGAACCGAAGCATGAAACGCGCCACAAAAGATGAAGGAATGGCGGTACAGTCATCCCCACCACGAAGGGATGCTGAAGTATAGAGAAAAGATGAACAGGTGCACAGGGAGTGACACCAAACTCAAAAAGGAAGACCGTCAGAAATGAACGATAGACTGGAGAGATGTCTCCAGGTTAAGCCTACTGGCTGCTCTTCCAGACAACCCCAGTTCGATTCCCAGCACCCATATGGCAGCTCACAACCATATATGACTCAACTTCTAGGGGTTCTGATGCTGTCTTCTGGCCTCTTCGGGGACCAGACACTCATGTGGTATATATACATGCATGCAGGCAAGGCACCTAAACACACTTTAAAAAAAAATTAACAGGAGAAATGAAAAAGAAAATTACGAAAAAGATAAAAAAAAAAAAAAAAACCCTAAGGATACCTGGGTTTAGGAAGGGGGTTAAATAAGCACTCCAACAACTCTCAGGATAGGAAAATAGTCACTCGGGAACATTTGGAGGATATGTTCAAATTCGGTTTTCTTTTTATCAACTGAAAAGTGAGGGAGACATCCAAAGGCTGGTTGAGAACCAGAGGCTACAAAGCAGATACAATTCCTCTCTGGAGTGTGGTAATCCAGACATTAGCTGCTACAGCTGACTGGCCTCCACTTAGACCTGCCTGCTAGCAGGTCCTAACCGGAAGCAAGTTGGTTGATTTCTCTAGGTCTCACAGTGGTGCCTGCCTGGAGCTCCAGCTATCTGGGAGACTGAGGCAGGAGGATCCCTAGAACCCAACAGTTCGAGATCAATCACTGCAATGCAGAGAAACCCCAACTGGAAGAAAAAAAAGACACTAATACATTGTATAAGACTTTTGGGATGTGGCACATAGTTAGAAAGTCATTGTCAGCCCCACTGAATAGTACTGGAATTTCACAGTACTTTTGAGATTGTATTAAAATCTTTGAGGGGTTGGGGATTTAGCTCAGTGGTAGAGCGCTTACCTAGCAAGCACAAGGCCCTGGGTTCGGTCCTCAGCTCTGGGAAAAAATAAATAAAATAAAATAAAATCTTTGAAAGACTATTTTGGGAGGAAAACTTCACTCATGAAAGTTCATTCTCTAGGTCCTTTGTAAATAAATAAATTAATTAAATAAATAAATAACATACAAGGCTGACAAAATGTCTCAGCACTGAAGCGTGTTGTCAAGCCCGACTGCTGAGTTCAGTGCCTGAAGTCTACATGGTGAGGGGAGAGGACACCCCAGTCCCTCAGTGATTATCATCTCTGTGCCACCCTCATGATGTCACCTAGCCAGCCAGCTGTGACCTGGACCTCTTGAATGAATGCTGAAGCCGAGAGTCTTTCTGCCCTTGAGTCTTCTCACAGACTTCTTACCCCTTCCCAATCTGCTTGAAAGCTGGAAGGAGATTCAGGATCCCCCACCAGAAAGATGAGGCACAAGAGGTCTCAAAATATAAAGAGGCAGAATGGCCCAGGAGTCTTGCCCACCTGCAGGTGTGAGTTGGGAGGGAGGGCTGCAGTCTGCATTTCTGTTTCTTGGTTTTTTTTGTTTTTTTTTGGGGGGGGGGGTTCGAGACAGGGTTTCTCTGTGTAGCTTTGGAGCCCGTCCTGGAACTCACTCTGTAGTCCAGGCTGGCCTCAAACTCACAGAGATCTGCCTGGCTCTGCCTCCCGAGTGCTCGGATTAAAGGCGTGCGCCACCGCCGCCCGGCTGCATTTCTGTTTCTTTTACTGCGCCAGTCAACGTAAGTGGGATTTTGTTACAGTTATTAGGATCCCAAGATTATAGGCCTGGCATCCGCCCTTGGCTCTTTTGGCCTTGGGTTGGAGGCTGTTGGAGTGGCTTCAACAGACAACTGGCAAGTGCAGGAGGGTGTAGCACGTGGGGCCCGATCATCTCCTATCAGCTATGGTGCTGGGAGAGCTGAATGACACCTCCATGTAGGTGCAGCAGTCGGTGCAGGCTGGACTGTTTCTAGATGGTGTTGCCCAAAGGAGTGTGGCCGTGCCCCGGCTGCTTGTTGCTGTGCATCACGTGCTGGTGGTCAGGTTGGGCGCCCTGATTGGATCTTGACCTTGGTACGCCTTCTCAGTGAGGTCACCGGGCTGGACTTTGAGGGTGATGGTCTTGCCTGTCAGGGTTTTCATATACATCTGCATCTGGGTGTCTCCTCGTGTGATGTTTATGTGTATGGGTGTTTGGTCTGCGTGTGTGTCTCTGCCGGAAGAGGATGTCAGATCTCCTGGAACTGCAGTTACAGATGGTTGTGGGGTTGTCGTATGGGTGCTGGGTGTCGAACTAGTGTCCTCTGGAAGAGCGTTTAATGGCCGAGCCATCTCTTCAGCCTTTAATGTCTCCTGTTGCCTCCTTGGAGAGAGAAAGCTGCAGT